AACGAACAGCTGGAGGGCATCTAGCCATCTAGCTACATGGATAGTTTGATAATTTGATAGCTATCAAATTGTCAATGACCATTAAGATACGGTTCAGTCAATTTGTTGGCAAACAAACCTAAAATGGACCAATAACATGCGGGCAACATTCTGGAAAGATGCCAATTGGTGGTGGAGTTCCTCGAGTCGATCCATTCCCGAGCCTTCCCCTGATTAACACGGCCCTGTAAACAAGGGCAAAGGGTCAAACACAGACCTCGACTTGCTGCTTTGGGTCAAATTCCAGTGCATCAAGACCGTAGACACCGTAGACACCGTATATTAAGATTCCCCAGTAAATTATTCTGTGCATGTCACGATAGGATAGGGCAAAAGAAGAAAAGATAGGGAAAACAAACAGGTGGTTTGGGCTGCCACTTTGTGTTTCTGATATTCATATTGATATTGATATTCATATTCATATTCATATTCATATTCATATTCATATTCACATTCACATTCACATTCTAGCTTCAAATCTTGAATCTTGGATTTCCTTACTGCTCGTCCTCCTCGTCGTCGTACTAAAATCACCGTAACAAAGTTGATCAATGTTTTGAGGACTTCTTTTTAAAGTTCCTTCTTTCTTCCCCTCCCTCCTCCCCCTTCCCCTCCCACTCTCACTCTCACTCTCGCTCTTTTTCCGGATCTGATCTGATCTGATCTGATCTAATCGGTGTGTAAAGAAAATCACGATAGGAAAATTCAACGAGCTAATCAACGTCATAATCCCTAGGTAGTTTTTGATTTTCTCTTCTTCATGATACCCAATTTTCTTTCGAGGCGCACAAAACTCAATTCATTTCCTAAATCTTTAGAAAGGTTGAAGCACCAAATCATCATCCACAAACACTGGACGAGGCTGGAGAAGAAGAGAGCTTCGATCACTGCATTTCTATCATCCCGGTGTGTGTTTGGTTTCATGAACCGTCGATAATGGCTTCGACACCCATCAATTCAAGGACCTTCGCTGCGAACACAAAACCTGGTTTAAAAGCTAGTCCTTCTCCATTTCCACGAACCCCGCGACCCTCGAATAAAAACAGGAATCCCTACGAGTTAGGATTATCGTTGAAGAAAATAATTGGAACTACAGTTTCTTCTCCACCATGTTTCGACTGTCTTTCGACGTCTCGGATATTTGCATACACAGCTGGGGCCGCGGTAGTGGTTGTTGATATTGATGATGAGGGGAAACACTCCCAACGTTTTTACCGGGCTTCTCCAACAGCCGTCGCCGCCAACACAAGTAATGTAGCTCTAGGTGGACCTTTAACACCTGCCAACAACGCCAATGATGGCAGAAACGGAAAAGGGTTTCGAGATGCTGCAATTCCATATGCACCATCCACAGCACATACGAGTTTGGAATCAGGTGACTCTTCATCAAAGACATGGTCAAGCAGGGAAAGGATCAAAGCGGCTACATGTGTGTCGATGAGTTCTGATGGTCGATTTTTGGCTGTGGGCGAGGTAAGCAGGTTTGTACGGATATTTGTGTATTGGCTGATAAGGATATAGACAGGATACGCCCCGAGAGTTTTAATATTTTCTTTGCAAGACAGTTCTTCAGATACACCGCTCGCCATTCTTACCGAGCATACATATGGTGTCGCCGCCATATCATTCAGTCCTGATGGCAAATATCTTGCCAGCTTAGGTAATGTTAACGATGGATTTCTTCACGTTTGGTCCATAAATCCAAAGAATGGAACAGCAAAGCTACATTCCAGCAACAAATGTACTAGTTTCATCAAGCAAATGTTGTGGCTGGGAGGGAACGTAGTTACTGTGGGAACTCGCCATATAAAGGTATGGAGAGTCGAAGATGGCCGATGTCCCTCACCAAAACAAAAATTTGCACTTGACGGTACACCATTACCGCTGCCAGTACAACAAGCGCTCAAAACTCTCACTGGCCGAAACTGTTTACTCGGACCATTAGTAGATGCGACTTTCACATGCGTGGCTTCTTTGTCTGATCACAGGGCCATTGTTTGCTCGGAAAAGGGAGACGTTTGCCTCCTAGACAGCACAGAAGGCCAAAAATTGATCAAAGTTTTGACCACCGGATTTCCAGTCACATGTATAGCTATTGAAATGGAGACTCGGCAGGTAAGGATAGGAGGTCGTAATGGTAAAGTCAAAACGGTATCCTTGGACACACTTCTAGCTCCATCTACTCCTCCATTATCACCCCTCCCGTCAGATGAATCTAATGACGAGGTCGACCCTGGCCATCTGTGTGCTATGGGCTACGCTGGAGGTAATTTCGTTACGATTGATTCTAGACATACGATTGAGATTTGGGGGAAAGACGACGAGGACGCTGATCATGGGTTCCAAAACACACTTCAACCCGCTCATGGCGATGCAGTAATGGGTGTGCAACTCTTACCCGAAATCAATCAGATGGGAGCAGCATTCCTTACCTGGTCGGTCAATGGTAGTCTTGCCTTTTGGGACTTGCATGGCAACAGCAAAGGTTCGATTACAATCGGCATAGATCAAGTGTCTATAGAAGAAGAAGCCGCCAACTCATGTCAGGTCGTGAGAATATCAAAGGACGCCTTGTTCCTGGTTTCTGGAGATAAGTACGGAGTTTTGAAAATATTAGATCCATCCACGGGTGCATGCACTTTTGAGACACGTGCTCATTCTACCGAGATCCAAGATATTACCATTTATGAGGATGATACATCAACCATGATAGCTTCATGTAGTCGAGATCGGACCATTCAATTGTTCCGTCTCGTCTCAGATAAGTGGGAACTGGTACAAACTTTAGACGAACATACTGCTGGCGTATGCGGTTTGTTCTTCGCCGAGAATGGCGAGAAACTCATATCTTGTGGAATGGATAGAACGATCCACATCCGGCAACTTGTAAAAAAGGAGGTAGCAGAAGGAAACGCGCTAGCTGCTGTCCCAGTCCGTATTATCACCTTGAAAGCTGCGCCCGTCTCGATGACGCCCTGTCTCGGTCCTCAAGTAGGTAATATTGTGGTGTCTTTATTGGATCGCACTGTAGCTACATATGAAATAGCTACTGGACGCCTTGTCAACTCATTTCGAGCAACAGACTATGATGGAGCAGACGCTGTCGCTCTGGACTCTCTTGTGATGGGTACACCTAGTGTACTTTCTGGCAAACCTAGCACAGTTCTCGCTGGTGTCTCGACTACCGATAAGTCTGTTCGTATCTATGATTGGAGTACTGGATCTTTCCTAGATCGCGAATGGGGGCATACTACTTCCGTATCAGGTGTTGCACTTCTGGAGAACATTGATTCGTCTTCTAGAGTGTTGATAAGCACAGGGCTGGATGGCACAATCATGATGTGGGATATTGCTTCTAATGTCACCGCCTACTCACAGAATCAGCCTGAGTCAAACGACGGTACCCAAGATGAGACACCACCAAAAGATCCACCAACCTCGCGCCCGCCATTGAGAAGGGTATTATCGAAAGCTGAACTTGCTGAGTTTCAACGAGCGTCACCAACAGCTACTCCTCCTGGGTCGTCTTCGCCACCTAGAGTGATCAAACGTAAGACCTCGAAATACGGCTTGACGAATCAGAACCCTACCTTATCAATTCCATCTGTGCAAGCTGTGCCATCTAAACATTTCGCATCTGCATCAGACGATACAGGACGTAGATCGTATCCAAGGAACAGATCTCGGAGTCCAAACAGTCCTCAAACAAGAGAGGTCAGACGTCCTTCGACGGCGTCGGTAGACTTGCGGGGCCGAGGCAAAAGTTCAAGCAGTGGCATAACTGAATCCGGATCACTTAACATGGCGACAGAGCAAGCTTGTCGAACACTTAGAGCGTACCGAAGAAAGCTCTTATCTACTGAAACTATAGATGAAGAGTGTCTAAAGGAGCTAGACCAGGAGTTGCGACTAACCTCGGTAGTACTGGGGGACAGAAGCCAAAAGTCTAGAACGATAAGTGAGACAGTTTTAGCAGGAATACTTGACCAATATTCCGACAGACTGGTTTCCATGTTCGACGAGAAGTTAAGATTAAGTCAATTGGGCTCAAACAGACTGGTAGAATCTCCTACCGAGATGGTCGAACGCCCAAGAACGGCTGACAGATCCAGTGAAGATGGAGAGTTTCTTGATTGTCATTGATTGTGTGTTTCGTTTGTTCTACTGCATCGATTTTGAAGGCGTATGGAATACCTTACTCTTTTTGGAAGTGTTGCAGGCGTTTGAAAGGAAACACTCTTTGCATTGGGGTCATCGTTTGCATGGCACAAGGTTCTATTCTACTTTAGGGCGTCCGCATAAGCTTAGGGTGGGATAAAAATTAAGCTGCAACTTATTCCTTGACGCATATGGCTGAGGAGTTTTCAAAAAGAAGGGAGAGTATAGGCATTAGAATTAGGGAGGAATGGGAAAATGGCCTGTTTGGAGTAATTAACTTCGTGGAAAACAATATATCAAGGACTGCGAATCAGTCATTTTGTCCATCATGCATTTTTCATCCGTCGAGATCTAATTGCCATACTGTATACTGAACGCTTGACCGATTACTAAATCCATCAATCAAATGCGAGACTAACGGATAGCCTCATATAATCCTGCAAATAACCGGAGTTCACCAAACACCTGCAGACTTCAAACTCTAGGAGAGGCTGCAGATGGATGATCAATCAATCAGGAATATCCATCAGCCTTATGTATCTTCACGTGATTTGGTTGATTCGGACCCACCGCTTACCTAGTAATTCCCAGTCGCGTTTACATGTGCAGCCAGCCTTCCGCGAAATTATTCTCAGAAATTCATCTTCAAGCTTTAAGAATAATTGATTTTGTGCCAATCACCATCGATTTTGTTCCACCTTGTAATATTGGAGAAGAAGTTTAATATTTATATTTGATCAAATATTTCACGTATTTGATACCAATAACTACTACCTATATCTGACTGCATTTAAATCGCGAATATGGTAAACCTCAGCGATGTTAAGGGAAATTCCCGCGACAATCGAACTTCTACGCATACACATATCAAAGGTCTTGGACTTCGAAATGATGGCTCTGCTGAGAAGCAAGCGGGTGGATTTGTTGGCCAAACTTCAGCTCGAGAGGTGGGTTGGTATGCATGATGGATGATAAAACTTTAACTAATATATCCTGGTTTAGGCTTGTGGTGTGGTTGTCGACTTAATTCGTTCCAAAAAAATGGCTGGCCGAGCTATTTTACTTGCAGGAGGACCTGGGACAGGAAAGACAGCTCTCGCTCTAGCTATCAGTCAAGAGCTTGGAACAAAAGTACCATTCTGCCCCATCGTCGCAAGCGAAGTATACTCGACGGAAGTCAAGAAAACAGAGGCGCTCATGGAAAACTTTCGACGAGCCATTGGTCTGAAAGTTCGCGAAACGAAGGAGGTTTACGAGGGCGAGGTTACAGAATTAACACCAGAGGAAGCTGAAAATCCATTGGGAAGCTATGGAAAGACTATCAGCACACTGTTGATTGGATTGAAGAGCGCCAAGGGCCAAAAGAAGTTAAGATTGGATCCAAGCATCTACGAAGCTATACAGAAAGAAAAAGTTACAGTTGGAGATGTTATTTATATCGAAGCCAATACCGGAGCCTGTAAACGTGTTGGCAGATCGGATGCGTATGCGACCGAATTCGACCTGGAAGCGGAGGAGTATGTGCCAATACCAAAGGGAGAAGTTAACAAGAAGAAGGAGATAGTACAGGACGTTACTTTACATGATCTCGATATTGCGAACTCCAGACCTCAAGGTGGACAAGACATAATGAGTATGATGGGCCAGTTGATGAAACCAAAGATGACAGAAATTACGGAGAAATTAAGAGCGGAAATTAATAAGGTGGTCAACAAATACATTGATCAAGGAGTGGCAGAGCTTGTTCCAGGTGTGCTTTTTATTGATGAGGTATGTGTCAAAGCCTTCAATACGCCTTCCGGTTCTTGATCATTAACAAATTATAGGTTCACATGCTCGATCTCGAATGCTTCACATATCTGAATCGTGCTCTCGAATCAACGATTTCTCCAATCGTAATTCTCGCTTCCAACCGTGGCATGTGTACCATTCGCGGCAGTGAAGATTTGATCTCAGCACATGGAATTCCTTCTGATCTTTTGGCTCGTCTTTTAATCATTCCTACAAATGCTTACGAGGCGGATGAAATCAAGAGAATTCTTCGTATTCGAGTCACAGTTGAAGGTTTAGCCATAACTGAAGCTGCATTAGACAAACTCACAGAACATGGTTCAAGAATTAGTTTGAGATATGCATTGCAGCTTCTCACACCATCTAGTATTTTAGCGCGAGTAAGCGGACGCAATCAAATTGATGTCCAGGATGTAGGGGAGTGCGAAGATTTATTCATTGATGCACGGAGGAGTGCAGCTATTATGAACGGTGAAGCTGGTAATGGGTTCATTTCATAAACAACATCCGCTGCGGCTGATGCAGTTAATCGACTGGTGTGAGAAGTTGATTGGCGTGGTCACATCATTAGTGCATTTGCGGGAGTAGTTCACTGGTGTAACTATCAGTGTAACCTGAGAACAGGGGTTTATCTAGAGCTCGTCGCTTGCTTTTGGCGTCTAAAGGGGGTGTCCAAGGTTTCATGGTTCTGTTTGCGGATATTATGTAGTATCTCCCCCAAAAAATCTAATTGGGATTACATTCCTCACACCTCTCCAAAATTGGTAAAAAAAGCATTCCAATTAGGTCTCATTTAGTAAGCATGAAATTATTCTACCCGTTACCAAGCATTTTCTTAATTTTGATTTTCTATTTCTTGGGATTTACTGGGAGTGAACATTGGTAACGGAGCTCACTAAAGACAAAGGAAAACGCATGCGAAACTGCAGCTGTGCAGTCTTCCCGAGACAACAAAGACACCAACACTTTGCCATAATGCCTAGAATGCCTAGAATGGACAGAATGTCACAACTAGAAGTTGATTATGGATGAATTGAGTTATGATAGAATTGTCCTTTTCTTTATCCAGTCGCAATGCATACAAAGCATTTCGTCACCATCAAGAAGGCCATTCTACCCTTCTATTCTTTCCTCTTTATTTTCCTTTCTATCTATTATACTCTGAAGTTCCCACTTGATATCTACTTCAAAAACTTGAGCTTTTCCTCATCTCGTTTGAAATCAAAAATCATGTCAATTGTGGCAGAAGTACGCAGAACCAACGGCAATGTTGATAGAGATGCTCCTCGATCTCCCGTTAGTATCTCAACAGATTCTAGTAGGAGGAATTCGTTGAGACCAATTCTCCCAGAGAAACATTCAGAGCCTCCAACTCCCGTTTCACCTCCACCTTCCGACCGTTTGTCAAGAAAACGAGCAGCATCACTCGATACTGAAAGTGCGAGTGCGAGCCAACCACGAATCGGAGATCTTGCATTGAATAGTGCGAGCACAAGCAATAGCATTGGGGGCCCTTCCCCTATTTCTGATACGCCAGTCACGGAACAAGTGTGTCTTTGTCAACCAGACCCAAAGATACCACGACCTCGAAACGGTGCGTGACCTAAAACTTTTCTTTGACAATGATGATTGACAATAATCGTATGATTGGTTATTGAGAATGGCTGCGAGAGACCCTATGTTTACCCTAGCCTTTGTTTATTGAGATGGGATTCTTTGTCACCGCTACAGAATCGAGAAGCTAACAATTTCCCTTTGTAGCATTTATCCTTTACCGTCAACATTATCAGGCACAAGTCGTCGCCCAGCATCCCGGTCTTGCAAATCCCGAAATATCAAAGATTATTGGAGAACAGTGGCGCGAGCAGGCACCCAATGTAAAAGAGGAATGGAAAAGACTCGCTGAAGTAAATAACATAGTAGTCGCCCGTGATCATAGGCCATGCTAATTCTGTGGTACCTAGGAAGAAAAGCAACGTCATCAAAGACAATATCCTAATTATCGTTACCAGCCGCGCAGAGCAGGGAAGACGGTCGGTAATCGTCCACTGACTTCAACATCGGACGATCCCATTCGGTGTCCGAGATGTAACGGACGCTACATCTCAACGCCAAGTACACCGTTGACACCCTTCACGCCGGCTTTTGGAGCTGCCATTCCTCGCAACGATAGAATTCTTCCGCCATTCAGCTCAAACAATCAGGCCCAGAAGTCCCAACAGTCTCAGTATCAACCCCAGCTCGGCGAGCTCGAAAGGCCCCGCTATCTAGCTCAAATGCCCGGCAGCGGTAGAGTAGACTCTCCACGTATAGGTCCACCTCCCCAACAAATGGTTAGGCGACACCCATACCCTCAACCCCTCCATACCCATCATGAACAGGATCAGGATATCGAGATGCAATCTGCCTCCCCAGATTTCAAGCGTCGACGTTTCACCAACGATCCGAGGGTCTATCCACAACCATCTCCGATGGTATATTCAACCCCTCAACAAGGTTTCGCCCGCAACCAACAAATCCCAATGTCAGCGGGTCCCTTCCGGAATCCTCCTCAGCCTCTTCCAGGTCCAAGATCGGGCGCAATGGGCCCACCACAATCGGCTCCAATGCGTAGCACACATATGCAACAGAGCATGACACCCACTTACCGCAATCGGACCCCGACATTCGACGAATCTCTCCGTTTGCCTCCTCTCCAAACCCAACTTCCCACCACCGCCCCTACATCCGCTCATCGTCCTACCGACCGCGACCTCCGGAGCGAGAGTAGAGAGTCCCAAGCTCGTAGTGTTGAGGCCATGGTCATGACAATTCCCTTCTGGAATAAGTTAAATATCCTTTCGAAGATTTCACCGCCATTAGCGGCGCCGGGCCCAACGAGTCCTGCGCAGGAGATTAGAGGCGCGGTGATTGCTGTGGAGGGGATGGAAACGGGATTGATTAGGGAGGTGGGAGATTTTATTCGTGGACATCTAGAAAAAGATGCTAATTGTGTGGTTCGGACTTGGATGACGGGATCCGATGCTCGTCCAGAATCGGGGGATACAGCCGCGGATGAAGATGCGGATACTGAGATGCGGGACATCTCGGGTGTGCGAGTGACAAGAGAGAAAGGAAAGGAGAGAATCAAGGGAAAGGAGGAGAATAAACATGAGATGGTGATGGATATGAAAGATCTCCAGGAAAAAGAAGAGGCTTCTGATCCTTTCGTCGAATATCTTTCGACGATTTGTCAATGGCATCGTAATTCATTACAGATTACGAAGTTCATCACGACGGTTCCTCCTTCTTCTCCTCGCAGGGATACCTCTACTGCTTCTTCGACTCCTCAATCGTCAGAAGCATCGCAGTCGTCTACTCCGCATAAAAAAACACCGATAGCTCTTATACCGCATGGATATTCTCTTACCTTGTCAGATGCGTATTCATTGAAATTGCCGATAAATGATAGTTATGCCCCGATCGATCATTGGCAGTGGATGGCTACGCTCTGGAGAGGAATAGTAGGCGCGGATCTTACGGTGTTTGTGAAGGGGGTAGGAAGGGAGGAGATGGAACGGTCTGGAGGGGTGGAGTGGATGGTTGGAAGAGGAATTGTGGTGAGAGTCTTGGTTTCGGAGAAGGTGGGCAGAGAGGGGAGTTTACCGGGGGATAGAGAAGGTTTGAGGAAAGGCAGTACGAGTACAGTTGGTAGTGGGGGTGGAGAGAGAGAAAAAGAAGGAAGTGGAGGAAAGGAAAAGGAAAAAGAAAAAATTAAAGGGAAGATGGATGAGAAGACACGTCGGCGTTTAGGATTTGAAGTCGGCGAGTGGGTGAGAGGAATTGATGGGGGTTGGGGACGAAGTTGATGCTTCTGATCCTGTGTGTCGGGGAAGTTTATACCCATTGATTCATAAAAAGATATGTTTGGAAGTGAGTGAGTGAGTGGGTGGATAAAGGATCGGTGTAGTCGGGGTGTACAATCAATTCTTCTCTTTGCATAATTTTATTCTCTTTCACATCCATCAGTATTGATATCTGTTTGGGCATTTAGTTTTACTTTCTTCTTATGTTACTTTACTTCTATTGTATGTTCTTTTTTTCCATTTACAATTTGGGACGTGGGTGTGAAAGATGGATGTTGGGTAATCATGTAACTAGTGCGTCTTTGTATCTGTGGATTGAAGGGTTAGGATTAGATAGATCTCAATAGTCGACTGGAATGAAGAACGCTATTGTTGATAGGAATTCTTGATTGTATTGTGAAGTTTAAGAGGAAAGTTCTTTGTTGATTGTTGTATGTTGGCAGTGTGGACTTCATTGTGATTCGGATACTTGGGTGCCAGCTAATTGACTGACTTCTTTTTTTTTCAATCTCTTCTTCCTTACCTTGCTTCCCAACTTATTGAATCTCTTATGGAATGCGGCAGCTACGAGACGGTCCTTTTATAACTACTAGGTACCTACTAAATAGATATCAAATAACCTGTACATTTTTTCCTTGGCAACATCACCCCGTTGAAAATCACAACCTTGTCGCTCCTTCCCCATTCTACTACTGCATTCAAGTGATCAGTTACTTCCTTCCATCCACATTCCCCTCTATCAAAATGAAATTATTTCCAGATCATGGCGTACTACATCCGTATGGACTAGACTTCGATGCCCAGTAGCAACTTCCTTAACCGCAACAAATCTGGAGGAAAGATGCATCATAGTATGTATGACCCAAACTCAGCTCCTTTGCATCTTTTCACTCTTCCAATCAGACTCGTACATCAAATAATCTCACTGCATTGCTTATACAGTAATTTTGGTATCCTTAAAAAACTACTCGCACTTCAAGTTGAAGTGTTATTCTAGATTCTCAATCTATATCTGTATCTGTATCGATTCATTCATTCAGAATTTCTCCCACAAACATGGCATCTTCCTCCATCCAGCAAGATTCCTGGCTCAATTCTAACTTTGCCACCCCAATCCCAACCGCCTTCGACAATCACGAGATCCCACGTTCCACCTCTCCTCTCTCATTATCTCATAATTTCTATTCTCCAGCTACCCTGCAAAGACCTCGTCTCTCCCCAAGCCCCAAGCTAGCTCCAGATCTGAAGAGAACAAGATCCAAAGACAGCAAATACAGCAAAAAAGAAATGGTATATCGAGCCATCGATGACAAGATCGACTTGGTCAGATTCTTGCAGGCGTATGAGAGTATACTTGCTGCTTTTGGTGTGGAGACGAGGGAACTGTACGACGAGAGAGAGAAAGAGAAGCTAGATGTTGCTGAACGCATTGTTTATAGGTTGTTTTGTGAGTTTTCCCTTTGAGATAAAACCCGGCTTGAGACGGGGAGGAATGGTAAAGATGCTAACATCCTGGTCTTGATAGGGGATGATAGAAATTATGCGGGAAATAGAGGAAGTGAAAGTGTACCTCTAACACTTGTCAAGGCGGATAATCAGGTAGTGGATACGGATACAAATACCTCGCGGCTACTGAGAGTTACGGCATCGGAAGT